AAGTGACTTCAAAAGCGCTATAGAATCTCAAAGCCACGGAAAAATTCACTTATTGATTCCTGCATTTCGGGCAGTGGAGACGGCTGTGAATGATCAGTGAGCTGGGTAGCGTAACCACGACGCCGGCAATAGTTGGTTACTCGATGCACAGGGTAAACGTTGATGCACTAACAGCAAGCAAACTAAAAGTAAACCCGCTGAATCAGGTGAACACAACCCTGTTCTTCACAATGGGAAGGGACCAATTTTCTAGCCAGTTCGAAACAGTTGGCAGGATGATGATGCATCAGGATGGTTAGCAAGACATTAAAATGTCTGCGGCAATTGTTCAACAACGTTATTCAACAGTTCAATTTTGTGTACACTTTGATTGCGACAGTAGGGGCAAACGGACTGGGTTACTCTGCACTTGAATATCATTCAAACGTGTACTGATCTACGATATTAGAATCCCTTCTATGAATCAACTGCAGTCGAATTCCGATTAATCATAGCGCAGCGTGAGCCACTGACTCCAATTCCAGACCGAATAGGGACTGCAGTTATTATTCTGACCGAGCTACACGGGAGACACCTAACTGGGGGGCCATTGTAACTTACTAGGAAACGACATTCGAAAATCTAGCTTTTGGCTGAGGAAGCCAGACTTATTTTACTGGACTCTAGGTAGAAGAGAAAATATAGCGAATACTTTAATAGAATGATACGGATATTCGTGTTCCATGATTAAGGGAGCCTGCTTAACATTGGCTTTTATATCATAAAACCGGGTCCCTCAGTAAGGTTCGCTGATATGAGATTTCCATGAAAGATTAGTTTCTTGTGATGGCATCCGTAGTGGACTATGCCACCGTCAGATAAATCATGACAGGCGACCGATCTCAGCGAAAAATACACGGTGTTGACGTGAATAATACTCAGTGAATTTTGGCATCTACTGCAACCATTGCCAGACATCAGTGATGCATCCACATTCCCAGCCTTTCTTTCGTTTCTTGAATGGAATGTAGGATCGACCTGCACAGTACTTCTCTCTGTGAATGAAACTGATGCATGCGGTCTAGAGGCAGATAGAGGAGACCGAGGGGGAAGAGGTGTAACATGAGTTGCAGCGGAGGACCATAGAAATCAGGTCGTGCGGGTTCCGTTAAAATGTATACCGATAAAACCGGACTAGACGGCAATCAACGTGTTTGAGCCAGTGTGCGGGGGTATCGAAAGACTCGAAAGAAGCCCGTTGAAGTGCTACCGGTTTGTAAAAATTTCTGCAACAAAACGAACTCATCGACCACCTTTGCTCGACAACGACGTTTACTTTCTAGGATAACGTTCTGTTTCCAGGTCAAGCATTTTGTACTAGTTTTAGTAACAGCGTCCAGGAACCTAATTTTGAAGTTATCCCCGTGTGCAAGTGCTTTTTCCAGGCTGTACTACGGCATGCGAAACCCTGACACAAGTACCAAACATTTTGCAGTTAAAACTGATGCGTGTTTGGATATCCACCGAATCCGGAAAATCCTTAATCAAAACCTGCCACATTACGGATGTTTCCCATGCAGTTTTATCGGTGAGATAAGCGTATTGAAATCACCAAGGACGTGACAATTGAATGTCTGCTCTACTCAGTCTACGGTAAATTAAGAATATAAATGAGAATACTGTTTGTATTTGGTTAGCTTTAGGCAATCGGCATTTCACTGAACTTGTACGAGAAATAATAATATGGGGAAGACAAATTTCCAAAGCCCTCGGGGATTTAAGACTGATTAGTGGCAAACCACACCATATCCCTACAGGAATGGGGAAACGACGAGAGTGAACAGACTTTTTCTCGCCTCTTTTAGTGTTCGGGTGCTTTATAAATCAGGCTGGCAAAAGCGAGTAAGCCATATAGGATTATTACCAATTATCCAGTTAATCACGAGGATCAGTTCATTATCTATTCACAGCATATACATTAGGTTGTAATGATGTTCCGGCCCGTAACGGCATTAGTAATTTGAAATAAAACACACTAAAAATCAGGACGGACTTGCGGGTCAATTCCCCAAAGCGGCAATTCGTGAGATACGAAAATATTGCTACTGGCGAATGGGGTCAAATTCTAGAGCGCGCAGAAACAGGTTGCTCATCTAACTCAACTTGTTGATCGATAAATATTCATATGCAAACAAAAACCGTCAGTTAAATGAGTTGAAGCATCTGCGTTGCTATGCTATGCGTGCGCTTCACATCTATCTTTGGAAGGTAAGCTTCGACCAAATACAAACCGGACTCCATACTTGAACAGAGGCCTACTGTAGGGTCACCTTGATACTACGCTCAAGGATGGAACAAGATGGAATGGAACAACCCTTCACTACTACCGCATGTAGTCGAATTTCCCTTGTGTTATTCCAGTATTTTTCCCTGTGACAAATTGAGTTGCACCGTCATTATGGTTTTCAACCAACATTTCAATCACGCCACTTGCGAGACGCATTGAGTCCAAACAAGCTAGCTCATGTGAAAAATTAGAGACCGGGAAATGGAATGAATATCTTGAGGCGCCAAAGCCTCCAGTACCCAGTAAGACGACAGAAGAACCCGTGCCAACACATTATCGTGTTAGTATAACGCAGTTTGTGTTGAAACAACAAGTACGCAAGCAAGTCCGACTGGACGGTAGAGAGAACTATCATTATCTCCTACATAAACTTTCATCGATTCATATGCTACTTGGTTCGCACCACTCTGACGGTGCCAGAGAAAATCGCGTTGAACTTTAAACATTATCACCGATGATGCGGTACACTGGTGATGTGTTTTAATATGAAAAGCAGCTAATAGTTCTCCTTGTGTTAACGTTCTTGTACAAGTATTATGAGAGGATGACAAAAAGGATGGAGAGTTTTGAGTAAGAATAATACGTGAATGATTTGAATTTCTCAGTGTTGGATGCCTATTTCGACTGCCTTGCAAGACCACCAATTTAGGGGAACCTACACATTGGTCTTTTCCATTTTATCCTGAAAAGGGTTGACAAACTATCCAATACAACCATTGATCCGGACAGTCACTGGCGTGACAATTACCACAAGGTAAATCCAGTCCGCGAAACAGCGGCTTCCCATAAAAAAACACAGTAAACAGCAGTCTGAGAAAATTCATGGTCTGTCGTATGGGTTACTTGCATCTCACTGTGCCAGCCTGATCACGTTCCTTAAAATCCCATAAGATAAACGGTGCATAATTACTCCCGGAATATAGATACTGATACACAGTATGACAAGAACCCCAGTGCTTTCTGCTATTACTTCACTCCTCCAGCTTTTTTATCACAAATTTACGGATTCCATTGAAGGCCCGAAGCACAATTAACAAGAACTTCACCCAGTTTGAGTAAGGCAATCATGCGGAACTGCTACCGCCGGTCACATAACAATTACTTGACCACAATGGTGTCGTCATATCAAAGAAATTAGACAACTTTCGGCCATTTCTCCTCATAACTCCTTTACACTAACAAACTTTTAAGTGGATATCTCAAGCAAAACCGGTTCCCTGGCCTGGAAAACCGGGAAGTGTCATTTGCCTAATCACCCAGCATATGTACAAACAAGCTGCCTATACAGATCAGAAAAATATCGTCCAAATCTCTCTTGAACATACAAGATATCTCCATAATGTTGTCGTGTTCTTTTGGGTTTTCTTCGGGGTCACTTGATCAGTCATATTCCCCTGAATTTTGGCTTCAACCCCCAATAAAAACTGTTCAAAATTCACTCAATTCATCAGCTAAGAGCGCTGTTACGGCGAAAGACAGGTGATGGTATAACGTGTAGCGGACTGTGACAACGTGGAATACTTCTATTACCATAATCGTGCACTTTCGGTCCTGCATAAGCACAAAGCGGTGACCATCGGGAAGCGTATGCCTTGATAATAGTGAAGCATAGCACGGGGAAGGGATCAAACCGGCAAACCTTCGTGTTAGTTTGTTGACAAATATACGCATCCCACAAAAACAGCTTAGCACTGGTAAAAAAAACTCCCACAGAAGATGAAAGAATTTGTTGACGTCTATACTCCCACAAAAGACATCCATGAACCAACGTCTTATGGACGTACCGAACTAAGTTAGCCTCAGCGCGCAATTCATTTTCAAGGAATATGACGTACGTGTTCATTTCCGACATTACGGTAGGATATTCTAGAGAAGTCGGTTTTTACGATAATTTCTACGCGGATTTATCGCTCTTGGTAGATACAGAATAGATAGGTAAGAAAGTTATCCCCACTATCCCTTTGAATATTTGATACTTGTTTATTTTTTGCTGACAACAGCAGCGAACTCAGCAGTTTTACCACTATATGTGGTAGGTTACCTCGTATACCAAGTTCTGAATGTTCCCCTACCACACGTCTGAATAATCCCTCGAACAAATTCTTATTAAACGCATCACACTATTGCAACTGCAGACACAGGATTATGCCACCCCCTAGAAACTGGAATACGTGTTGCATAAATCAGGATGGCGTCATTGGTGAGTTTTTGTGCATCTACGGGAGTCGCTGTCAGCTGTACTAACTGGGCTAGCAGAGAAGAAAACTACCCTCATGCGTCGTCCGAACGCACCACCGTGTCTAGGAAACAACTAACTGTACACTACTTGCGACGATGCAGTAGCTCAATGGTTCTATTAATATCGGCTAAGCGCTGATCCTGACAGGCCATCCTAACGAATGATTAGATTCCCATTACTTACGCAAGTGCTCCATAATGAGGTAATTCTCAATGGTCTCTTGAGATATTTGCTTGCAGGCGTTGTTGCCGCTCCACATCGTTCGACGCCTGCGTTCGCGCTCAGTTTGTTCATCGAGCAAACAGAATTTACCGCAACCCTCTGTGTACAGATGCGCTACGATAAGTCCCACTTTTTGCGATTCATGGCGACTCACCGTACTAAGATATAAAAAAGCGTGGTCCGTATTGTATGTGCAATTTCTGGGCTTGGTGTCATCTATGAACGTACAGAACAGTCACTGGCTTGGTAATGTTGTTGAAACACGGTTGGCAATCCCTGGCTAACAAAAGGAAATAGTAAATCCTCAACACGGATTCCTACGGGATCTTTTTTTCATGGAATTCTGCTCTACATCCTGCAATAATCGAGAAACTGAGGGCTGACTTTAGTCTGCCCCTCGACGGAGCAAAATGGTGTATAGTAATGTCGGGTTAATTTGTTTACCATATTCTCACCCTGATTTGAGTTCAACTCCTTATCTGTAGATTCCGTCTTTGCAAAGCATGAGCAATCAGATCTTGCGATGATAGACTCTCGAGAGGGATGGAGAGTACTTGGTGCTTGTTTACAAAAAATACACCGAAGTGGATTGACTGGTAACACAAACAAAAGGCCGAAATACACAGCAACTGTTTACTCAGAAAAATATATATAAATACATCTCAATGGCCGATGTCAGAACTAATCGGGTACGGAGAACTTCATTCTGGATAGAGCTAGATCTTTCCTGAAACACAAACAATTATTCTGTTTCCAATCGAAACTTACCAGTCTGCCACAAAGCGCTGAGTGCTTGAGAGTCGAGATCGGATTTCCTCTATTGCATTATTTATGCGATCTATGTACGGTTTCGCCCGTTGTCGAGCTTTACTTTGCATATAGACATCCCGCTCTGTGAAAGATTTGTCGTACAACCAAATGAAGAAAAACAGGAATAAACAAAACAGGATCAAACAACACGGCGCGCTAAAAACAGTGGGTTTCATGCTGTAGAAAAGGTTAATACTAGATAGAAAAAGAGTATGTATGCTTTGGGTATCGGCTAGAAGTTGGACTGTGAAAAAGTGGCCCCTTATTCATCATCACTAGAACTTTGACAGGCCCACAAAAAAGTGCGAATATTCAGAAATATACATAAAAAGCTATCCAGTTGGGGGCTGGATCACGTTTTCACAACAAGCAGTGAATCTAAGCAAAACTGGTCCGTATAAATAGAAGCCCTAAGAGTTCAAACCTAAAAGCCAGTTGCGCGACATTAAATGAACGACATCACAAGCTGACATGACAGCGTACGCCCCTGGCCATCCGTCGGCTATAGCTGACCAGTACATAATCTCCTGTTGTTTCACACCAGTCCGAATCACAGTACACTAAGCCTTCGATAAGCCAATGAAATATTCGTGGGAGCGTCCTGCGGGAACCTATCACAACACCCGGCATCACTTAGTCGTTCGAAACATCATCCGCTTACCCATACTGAAAACTCAGGGGCTGGAGCGCGACCCCAGGGACGGGAGGATCAAGGTTCGAACCACTCTCTGGAACTCCGAGTATCGTTCCTGCGAGCTTGAGATAACCTGGAAGTACTTAAGCCCCCATGCCCGGAAAACAGGGCAACCATCGAATGAAAGAAAGCAACACTGGAAGGGATTATTGGAACCCATTTGGTTCGGCTATAAAGATTCATCAGACTAGTGATCCCATATTGAGTGCAGTCGTAGGCTACCAAACATAATAGGACGGGGAGTAAAGAAGAATCGGTACAACACAACCTACTTTGAATCATGGCGATAGTGCGTGACTCTTCTTCCAAAACGACAAGCGCGTCCCGCAAGCGTTCTGCTTCTTCATTGGTAACCCAGTTGGTCAATGCCAACGAAGCTATGCGCTGAAGAACTGCGTCTGGATGCTGGAGCAAATAAGCAGATTAGCAATCTGTTTAGAGCAACGCTGTTCCAGAAAGTTAACTGGTATTGTTCATAATACGGAAATGATCTTGAACATTGCAATCCCCTCAAATGGTAAGTGTCGTTTCTGTGAGAGGTTCAAAGTATGAAACTACAAAATTCTTCACATAAAACGCAACAACAAAGTTCACAGCAATCCTGCTGCCATAAAACACAGTCATCAGTTGTTCTTCGTGGATCGACTCAAAGGTCACACTTGATTTGTGAACGACGCTCATGTTATGAGTAAATGACAGACAGCATCGTCACTCAGTTGACAAACCTGAATTATGGCACACGATGACTTAGCACCGGGACGAACAAATGATGAGCTACTACTGAACGACTAAGTGACTAACAACCATAGTTCTGAGGAACGTATTCTTGACAGCGCATGAATCTCTAAAACCCGAAAACTTGCAACTTGCGCGATTAATGGCACCAAAGAGACCGATAATTAAGCTCCAAAGGTCGCGTTATCAGGGGAAAAATGGGCGAAAGCATTCAGGTCTCTGAACACTAGTATCTCAAAACGCCAAACGTGGTGAATAACCGTAAACTGGTATGCCACGAAGAATAAGGCGGCCTCCAAACTCATGATTACTCTGATCAGACATTCACTGAGACAAACTCCACCACGATATTGACGAGCAACGATCACCAAGGTTTCCTTCGATTCGGTAGATTCATATACCGCACAACAGTCCCTAACTAAAGAGTAACCAGACAATGGGCCGTAGGTCCCCAGGCGGTCAGTTGTACTGTCCCATACGATAGGGTTGCAGAGGCAGTAAGATGTTTCCTTCAAATGACCAACATGTTCACATCCTGAAGGTAATGAATAAAGGTGAATGATGAATAATCTCCTCGTTCACACGGAAATAAGCCGTAACAGAGGCTCAAATTAGGGCATGAGCTGAATTCGTATATACGTCCCAAAAGGGTCGATGGTATTGAACACAAAATCACCTCTACAGCTGATTGCTTTGTGATTATGCTTGATGTACACAATTGTTGTACTGAAGCTTGGGCCTGCGATAAATAAAAATAATAAATAGATGGCAAACAGCTCACAGTTGTAGAAAGTGGTCATCGCTGTTGTTCTTGGGGACATCTACACCAAGTTTACCGCTAAGACGTTTCTCACTCATGTTGGTTCTTCCCGACTGGCAATTCAAGCCATCAACCATGACAGCGATACACGTAAGCTTCGACATTCGCAGATAACGAAAATATTTCGGATTTGGGGTTGTTGACTGCGGATTCTGACAGACGACCAGTCTGACTGCACAGACAATCCAATCACATTGTCAGCCTTCAAGCTCAACGTGATGCACACGCTCATGATGAAATGTAGTGCCTAGGTGAGAAGTTTTCTACTGTTTCCCTGTAAAGCGTGCTGAGCGAACTTTCGTTCTGCATCAGTCTGTGCTAGGTTGGGCCCTTGCAACTCCTCCAAGCAGCAATTTGTGAACACAGTCGCTTGACTACTGCACGGACAGTTGAGGAGCTGACCATCGACCATAAGCTAACATCCCGTGTTGCAGAGGCTAGCGCGACATTCGACAAACTCAAAAAACGAGTCTGCGAAGGCAGACCAAGCTGCATGTCTGCAAGTCGATAGCTTTATTTGTCCTCTTGTAGGGTATTGAAACACCGGTCATATTAGCGACGCAATCTCCGATACTTGGGCAGATTTCAAGTGCACTGCCTAAGGCACTGCTCATAGTTGCTATACCACCTGAGGGAACATGGTGGCTGGAATAGTGACAGGTTGCCGAATTCTAGACAGGAGCAGTCGAGATGCTGAGGTGGGGTTAGAACCACGAACCTCCTGGTAAGTTCGCACCTTAGTCACTGAGGTACCTCGAGCTCCAACATTCAAATTCCAGAGTTAATTTTGAGCTTCGAAACCTACCAGGCTGATATCTTTCCCTAATAACTGGAATATTTAATTTAAGGCACTAGATACGAAAACTACAGACTTCGCAAATTTATCTAAAAACACTAAAAGAAAATGGGACCCTGATGCAAAAGAATCTTGGTTTTGTGGATGTCTGGTTGAGCTGAAGAACGCTCCCTAACTGGCGCCCAAGATTGTCGGAATAGAAGGTGGGAGTACACCACAATACTTGGAATACAATACTTGTAATAAGTATGACCGACTAAATCTAGTAACCAACAGACGACGGCAGGCGAGGTGCACACTACAATGTCTTCGATGAAACCCATGACGACAATGACAATATATTTAAAACAGAAGGGTGACCTCAGTACATACGATATCACACAGGAAGTAAGCAGCGGGGTCCCACATAATTACCTGGTATTGGTCCGGGAAACCCAAAATAACACAGCATTTGTTGTAAAACGGGTTCTGGCACAGAGTATTGTGAGGGAGATTACTGATAGAAGAACCGTGACTACAAAACAATAGAAAAAATCCGGATAAGCTCATGGTTACATTCTGTACAACAAAGCAGCAACTGTGTGATAATCCCTATGGCGAAAAATGACCAGTGTGTATTTGGTAACTCAAGGTTGGTCTGACACCTTCCTACTCCATCATGATACCGCAGCCCAAAATTATCCTACCTCTAGTATATATCCTCTCGATGAACTGACTTATGTTTCCCTCACTGATCTGCTTTCCTTTACTTTGATTCTAACGGGAAGCGAGTGTCTTTACTCTATGTGATGACCGGATTCTACCGTCGAGTTATGAAGAGTGAGAGGAATACATTGATATAGGATGGAAATGGAGAAGTATCGAATGAGAATCTAGGTATGGACAGTGCAAACGAGAAAAAACAGACCCTTAAGTAATGATTTAACCTCCCATCGCCAAGTAAGCATTTACCTCACCGGGTTAGTGCTCCACCACAACACTGGCGAACCCTATCACACTACGATGTGACTGACCTAAAATCAGCGTTCGATGCAAAAACAAAGAAACGGAAAACGATCCAGCTAGCAACACACCAAAGCATCAGTAAGGTGCTCACTAATATTATTTCGAAAAAGTTACTTCGACTGCAATTTAGCAGTGACCTGACACAAAGGCATTCTTTGTTCGAGAAAACACTAGGTACGATAGACCCGACCATGACCATGTCCCACTGCAGTGGGAATTTCACAATGGCAATACCCCCTGACCGTTGGCCAAGACTTCGATGCATTAAACAGAGGATAGTCTGACAACCGCTGGTGAAGTTACAGTAAACTAAGAGACAAACACAAGGAGAATCAAACAGTTGTTTTAGTGTGGGATGCCTCTTCTACACAAGTTTTATATTCACAGCCCCAAAATCACCAAATATTTTAACCAAGTTATCACTCTGGGATACATATGAATTACAAACATGCAGATACATAGGATATTTGGTATGCATCATGGTTGAAAAGACTCATTCTGAACAGCTTCCCGCTCCTCAACAAAAAACAACCTTCTGTGGTTGCCGGAATTGGCGGACGAGTGGATTTGAGAAAAAACATTCCGTTCGACTTTTTAGGATGATTTTCCGCAGGACATGCGGATTATTGGACAATATCCTTAACAACCCATGATGACTGTTCACATTTTACCGTTCAACAGACTTATAACGTCCCAATTCAGTCAAGATCCTCTATTCGTCGTCTCAGTTAATTGAAACTGTACTGAATAAACAATGTGAACGTGCTATCGTTAGGTGATTGTACTATGAGAAAAAGCTTTCCTAAATATACGTGCTATGATCATCGATTGAGAAGCAAAAATCGCCCTCAGGTCATAAGTCCAATCGACCTGGTCTTCGATAGTTTTCGATATAAAATAGTAACCTCTCTTGTAACCGCGACCAAAAGGCGTGGCTATCTTCAAGTATATCGGAAAAGAATTATACATTGCGGGTTAACATCACTCACAGGAAATTTCTTGTTAGGTTCTGATAGGCTTTTGTTAAATGGTATCATCCTATGCAAGAAAGGATTTTAAGTATATAAAAAATCAATCCCTTCGGAGCGGAAGAGAGTGCGTATACGTGCGAACCTACCATGAGGACGTATGAAAACAATAACTAGGGCAACAAAAAACTACCACAGTACCTTTGTAACTTCCAGTCAGTTAGTGAATCAGAGCGCTTGAGCAGTGGGAGCAATCGCTGCATCGGATCAGAGGATACCAGATTTCGCAAGGACTGATGTGCCAGTGTAAGATGTTGTAACACTTCTGATTTGGCTTTCACCGCCTTGGTGTGAAATCAAACATAAAAGGTATGGCAACATTGGATCTAAGTAGCACAACTACAAAACATATACAGGGCAGTTTTTATTATTTTCTGCTTCTAAAGGACTCATTTCTGGATCGGGAGCACTGGAGCGTTTTAGACATACACCTGATACGCAGTTGAAGCAAAAAAGAACTTGAATGAGGCTAAAGACCAGCTTTCACGGAACATGAGAATAGTTATCAGTAAAGACGCTGCAATTCTCTCGCTATATACGCGTGCGAAACCCTATACCCAAAAGCCACTGAGAAACCTTAATGCATGGTAGAGAGAATATTATTAGTTGCTGATCCCATTCAGCGAAAGCTTAGGGCCATATTACAAACCGGGTGTTAATGTGGCGACGAAATAAGAAATAACCTGCTGATAGACCAAACTGTCGTAGACAGTGGTTGTGCGGCTCACCTATAGAAACTTTAAGTCCCAGAAGAAAATCGTCACAGAACGTATAACATACATATTCTCATACAAAGAACGGTATGAATTACGGTTATCCATTCTCAAAAATCACTATCTTTCGGTGGAAGAAGTGACAGATGACTCTTCATTCTGGGAATTGACAAGTGTGGCCGGATGTTGACAAGCACACTGGACAAATTGAGGGGAGTGACCTCACCAGTTCCTTTTGGATCGCGCGCGTGACAAACTCTGCACTAAATCAGATGATCATTTCAGCATCTTTATTGTCTCGTTTACAGGAGAGTAGTACACGTGGAAGTTAATGTTTCAAAGGCCCCGCTTTGCTCACACCAGACATCTGCTGGAAGTTGGGTACACGATCCCTGAAAATTCCAGAAAATCTTGCACAAACAACACCTTTTTCCCTCACTAAGATACGCCAGGCTGATTAGTTCTGGAATCGATTTGTCAGGTTCGATGCTCAAGGTTCAGTGTTTATCAGGCCTTCCATGAGGGCCGATAACAGACACGTTTTTTAATGAAGCTACCAGTTAGACAGGAGTTTGCAATGCTGAGTCGGATTCGGCTAGTGAAGCTGGAATCAGTGCGTGTCAAAAGATAAAAAAATCTCTCCACAAATCGATCCTAGACAACGAAGAACCCAGTAAAGCGATAGATTCTGACTTTGGCGTCAAACCGTCTTTATGACCATTGCAGAATGCCCCCACTTTTCTGGGGGCAACGACTGAGGGAGCGACCTATCCCGTGTGAGCAGTTAAATTGTTTTTCCCACAACAGTATGCAATGAACATAGATTTGATAATACGGCCCATCGCAACGTCTTCTATACCTCCAGGTCAATCTTTTCCAACAGGCCCGACTGGTCCCTGGACAAAGCCTCGGTGCACGGATTAGAATTTGCTATTCATGTGTGTGCGAGGTATTCAACTTCAAAAACATAGTTGGACTTCTTTCGAACTCCCATTAACTCATTTTTATCGAGACAAGAATGCTAGAGGTTTACTGGGATTCGCCATTTCATTCTTCATTGTCTGTTGTTGTTGTCTATGCCGTTGTCTGTGTTGTCTATTGACAAAGTAGAGACTGGAGTAATTTGCTTCGTCAGTTATAGGAAGCGACTCGTAGCCAATGAACACACCATGAAACTGTCCAAAAAGTTGGAGTCCGCGTATTACCATGTTATCCTGAAGTTGTACAGAAGCGAGATAGCCAATCTGTATGGGACATCAAAGTAATTAGGTATATTCCGGATGAATATGGAGAAGCATACAAAGACGAAGAGCACGCACAAAAACATAATTCCACCTTGAACAAACGTTACTCATAAGGTTACTGAAGTCTTGGACAGTCCACTACCTTGAAACTTATCAGGCAGGCGCAGTCCCATTTGAACATGAAATTTCACGTAATTCAAGTAGATCATAAGGTTGACGGAAACTCGGGGACTGCGCCTACCTGATGAGCCCCAAGAAGGGCGAAACCGGTCGTGGGCTGTCGAAGAGTTTTCAGCAACCTTGCGAGTAGTTTCCTTTGAGGTAATTCCACCTTCTTTACAACAGTGCCGTCATGCTAGACATCGTACATGCAGGAAGTGGTTTGAACACGATTTTAGGGATAGCAGCTCATTCACTTACCTGCTGTTGTGTAAATGGCAAATTGAGAGATAACGTGCGATTTTGCACACGCACGCGTTCGATCAACTGTTCACAACGGCTCTAAATCGATAGAGTACACAGCAGTCGCAGGAATGAAAAAAACAAATGGACAAAGGTTACTGGTTCCACCCTCAGACAAGAAAAATGGCGATCGGATAAGGAAAACAACAAGGTAAGAGAACTACGTGACAGAAAGATTCTCGAGGATGTGAAGCCACATATTCTCCTGACCAAGCCACATCCTCTAGTATAACAGAGGAACCCAGAACACAAAAGTTCAAAAGCGCAATGCGCCCGAGTACCACAGGTTATACACAAATAAGGCTACGGCTGGGGGGCTGAAACTTACCAACTCTGACCGGAATGAGAATACGTCGTGCTCCATCTTCTCTAATTCGCTAAATCTGGCTTTCCGATCATTGACCTCTTGTTGAAGTTTAGCCAGGAGCTGCTCCAAAATTTTCAACTCAACCTTCACAACGCATTTCCGAAGACAGCCATCAAGAGAACAACGATCGAAATTGCTGATCTTGTCAAGCCGGCACTCCAGCTGAGCCTGGAAACAAACAGTGGGCGAGAAAGGTACCTCTAAAGTGTATTAGGCAAGAATGTGTATCGAAGAGACGGTAACTAGCGAAATACACTCATTTACATTCCAATTTGGTTTAACCTGGAACCCAGCTGAATCCCTCGTTTATGATTTCCTAGGCAACTAAGTGTGCTGCACCAGTTCGTCTCACGTTTCGGTTGGCACGATATCCCAGATATCGCGATACATTGTATAGACGCAATACACTATTCATAAGGTTGCCGAAAACTCTTCGGAAGCCTCAAAAATATCACAAACGAGAGATTCAGCTGGGTTCCGGATGCGCCTCCCGTCAGAACCAAATCGATATGCAAATGAGTGCATTTGTTGAAGTCAGTTTCTTAGTTTGGACCTATATTTTATGTTGAGCCCTAGGTCTACTTGTGTTGCTGTTTCGTACTGTTTATCACTCCTGTTCACACGGCAGTCAATAGTCGGCCGTTAGGTTGGATAACAAATGCAAATAGATCGTGAACTGTTGATAGTGTGAGGATATTTCGATAACTTTTGTGGATATCTCGCCCTGCAAGTAGCTCAGCGGAAAAATAAACTTCACCTGATGAGTGAGATTTCCATTTGAAGTCGCTGCTCGAAGAGACAGTCAACACGTGTGGCCCCGTGATGTGGATCTCGTGACTGAAGGATGATTGACACTATATCCTGTCTAAGTGAGTTGATCGCACTGCTGATCAGCCGCTAGTGACCGAACGATCAAGTGTTCAAACTACTTGCAAGGAAGTCGCGGGTTCGAAACTCTCCAGAGTTTGATGAGATGCGCACTGCCGATGATTCCCAATACGGATGAAACAGCTGTACACTGCTTCTCGGCTATTCAGCATTGATTGGCTTCACTTACAGGACGAAATATCCACAGAAAGACTGTGAATTGCTAGTTTTGGTTTGACGGTGTTCTGAGGTGGAAAACCTGTACCTGTTATGTGCCCAGCTGTTTGTGCTTGTTTTCGCTTTTGAATTGCACTTATTCATCCTGCTTTATAACGTATTCACCGCAGTTCCGACGGATCTGCGGTAGTACGGAATCTTCCAGGCAGATTAAGTGCCTTTTTACTGTGTTTTAGGTTCGAGGCATCTGCATAGAAAATCCGGAAATTCACGCTGGATATGAGTTGTACACAGAAATTAATAACACCAGCTACCTGCCTTGTGAATATGAATGGTCAGCAGCAAAACTGAGAACAGGATATTAACCGATTTAATGCCAGCACGAGCTGACAAGCGTTCTCTTGTTCATGGGATTATGGCTAGAACACGGTTGATGAAAGTCACACGAAGTGACTTAGAATATTTTTACAAATACCATGCTAACTAATATGACGCACTGGCGGAAACTTCAAGGTATATCTGGTCGCTGCTCGTACAATTCATATTCTCATCCACCAGAAAAAAATCAAGGCACCAAACCAAGACATTTTTGCGTCCAACCCAAACGTTGGCCGGCCATGCCTCAGGGCATGGACACGCTTGTTGGGAAAGTCACGGGGAACTTCGTTAAATTTTTCTTCTTGAATTTTTCGAGTGATATGAACTATGAAGCTGAGCTAAGGGATACTAAACAAAACAAATGTGTCAAGCTATTTGTAATGCACTACTCATAAGGTTGCTGAAAATTCGTCGAAAGCCAACGAACGGTTTCGCCCTTTTTTGGGGCTCATCAGGTAGGCGCAGTCCCCGAGTTTCCGTCAACCTTGAAACTTGAAACCAAATTGCAGGAAATAAGCGAAATACACTCATTTGCAAACTAATTTGGTTTTTTTCCAGAGACTCACCTGGAACCCAACTAAATCTCTCGTTCGTGCAAGTTGGTTTCAAGTGGAACACAAGGTTGACGGAAACTCGGGGATTGCGCCTACCTGATGAGCCCAAAAAAAGGGCGAAACCGGTCGTGAGCTGTCGACGAATTTTCAGCAACCCCATGAGTAGTGCATCACGAATATGCATGTATCACGATATCTCGAACATCGTAGCGACTGAAAAATGAGGCGGCCTGGTGCAGCACATTCAGTTGCCTGCGAACAGCACAAACGAGAGATTCAGCTGGGTTCCAGGTGAGTCTTCCGTCAAAACTAAACTGGTATGTAAATGAGTGTATTTTGCTAATTTTTCGATAATTTTTCCTTTCCAATTTTCAATGGAAGTCCCCAACTTGCGTTGCGAGAGCGTTTGTACCAAATATAGTGCACCCCGCATGTCACGTGACTGCAAAAGTTTGGCAATCCCATTGTATCTTTTCTAAACTGCGTCTGTGCTGTTGGTCAAGCGCTATTTTGTCTGACTGCTTTCTGTTGAATTGAGTTGAGCGTTCATTTCTCAGCAGTGCGTAAATCCGCCCGATCCCATCGTTCTTCGGAAAGGCATCTGAAAGAAGCTTATTTTACTAATGGTCACTTTCCACCTCAAAATATTACGTAAGTCAGGAGAAAAGTCAGCAACTTCAACTCACTGCCTCACACATTCCTTGATTAAAATAAAACAGGTCATAACCTCCCATGTTATGCATACAACCACTGCATAGAAAATCCGGAAATTCACGCTGGATATGAGTTGTACACAGAAATTAATAACACCAGCTACCTGCCTTGTGAATATGAATGGTCAGCAGCAAAACTGAGAACAGGATATTAACCGATTTAATGCCAGCACGAGCTGACAAGCGTTCTCTTGTTCATGGGATTATGGCTAGAACACGGTTGATGAAAGTCACACGAAGTGACTTAGAATATTTTTACAAATACCATGCTAACTAATATGACGCACTGGCGGAAACTTCAAGGTATATCTGGTCGCTGCTCGTACAATTCATATTCTCATCCACCAGAAAAAAATCAAGGCACCAAACCAAGACATTTTTGCGTCCAACCCAAACGTTGGCCGGCCATGCCTCAGGGCATGGACACGCTTGTTGGGAAAGTCACGGGGAACTTCGTTAAATTTTTCTTCTTGAATTTTTCGAGTGATATGAACTATGAAGCTGAGCTAAGGGATACTAAACAAAACAAATGTGTCAAGCTATTTGTAATGCACTACTCATAAGGTTGCTGAAAATTCGTCGAAAGCCAACGAACGGTTTCGCCCTTTTTTGGGGCTCATCAGGTAGGCGCAGTCCCCGAGTTTCCGTCAACCTTGAAACTTGAAACCAAATTGCAGGAAATAAGCGAAATACACTCATTTGCAAACTAATTTGGTTTTTTTCCAGAGACTCACCTGGAACCCAACTAAATCTCTCGTTCGTGCAAGTTGGTTTCAAGTGGAACACAAGGTTGACGGAAACTCGGGGATTGCGCCTACCTGATGAGCCCAAAAAAAGGGCGAAACCGGTCGTGAGCTGTCGACGAATTTTCAGCAACCCCATGAGTAGTGCATCACGAATATGCATGTATCACGATATCTCGAACATCGTAGCGACTGAAAAATGAGGCGGCCTGGTGCAGCACATTCAGTTGCCTGCGAACAGCACAAACGAGAGATTCAGCTGGGTTCCAGGTGAGTCTTCCGTCAAAACTAAACTGGTTGTTAAATGAGTGTATTTTGCTAATTTTTCGATAATTTTTCCTTTCCAATTTTCAATGGAAGTCCCCAACTTGCGTTGCGAGACGTTTGTACCAACTAAACTGGTATGTAAATGAGTGTATTTTGCTAATTTTTCGATAATTTTTCCTTTCCAATTTTCAATGGAAGTCCCCAACTTGCGTTGCGAGAGCGTTTGTACCAAATATAGTGCACCCCGCATGTCACGTGACTGCAAAAGTTTGGCAATCCCATTGGTATCCAACCCGCTTCCAAGTTCCAGGTGACCCCGGTTGTGATGCTCAAAAGTGCCAAGTGGATATATTTTCATAAACGTAAGGGGACCTTCGGAGATAAGACGTAAAATCTAAATATTTTGGCACTCTACCCAAAAAAATGAAGCCGCACTCCGCATTTCGGTTTCCGGTATTGCAAGGATAGATAAAATAGAATCGGTCGAAAAGTACCCGCTCAGGATAATCTCATGGCTTTCCTCAGTGGACAGCACGGTGATTTATGGGGTATGCGTGCAGTTCGACCGCTCGAACGTTGTAATAACAGCTCATAGGCTTCACCTTGGATTCACCGTAGAGAGCCTGCTGAATACTCCAAGTAGCGGTATACTCAATCGACAACTTAGCTCCCAGGGACCAAAAAAGAACGCAGCACTTCGCGAACACGTCGACCCACCGGGGCTGGTGTTTTGCCATTGGTCTTAATTGGCCTCTGGGATACTGAAAAAGCCGTCGTAAAAGCTCTCCTCATGAGGTCTACGTGAGGATACCATCTTCGTCTATGGGATGAGCTAGGGCCTACGCCGCTTAGTCAGCTTAATTATGATGGTCATGATACTGGGCTTTACTGGAGTGTAAGTGCGAGGTAGATAGTAGCGAGAAAGTCTGTGCGGATAAAAAATCACAATGGTAAATCCACAAAGAACAAAATCACGAGTGATCACACCAGCTCACCTGCAATTCGTTTGCTCTCTTCGCCAGAATTTTTAGCTGGCATTTCGTCTCAGCTTGGCGTGTCGCTTTAAGAACATGATAAACATGTTTGTACTGTCACTATAGTGTGCGAAAAACAAATTACTGTCATCTGCTCCATAAGACGGAATGTCTTATGTCTGTCAGGTTCAACTGCAGGTTGACTGCGGACGTCATAGTTACAGCTTTTTCTCATACTAAGCTGCTCACATCGTTCTTCAATCAGCAACTTTAGACAATCGATCAACTGTAGACCGCAGTATGAATCATACAATGATCGGAGTAAACCGTTACTATGACAGTAAGAAATATAACAGTAAACGAACTTGTGTGTTGGACTCGAAGACTCTTGTGCATCTTGCATATACATAGTGAGCATCTTGTCTACAGTTTTCTAAAAGGTAACAGATAAAATGAGCCACCAACTCGACACAGAAGTGAATCGATCTCATTGTTCAAAGGTTTATCCCTTGAAAATATATATTTGTGGCCGTTTCAATCATTACCTAGTCTTTGTCGTAACTGAAAGCAGTGATGTCAATGAGTTGTCGGCCTCTCGAATGTCAAACAAGGCCGTTTCTAGACGAGAAACCACGCGATGGAGTAACGCCGTACGCAAATGAGACTCCTTTAGATTTTCTCGATTCATTGCAGAATGCCTGGAAAAAAAAACATTTTATTCATAAGGTTGCTGAAAACTCTTCGGGAAAGAACATAAACGAGAGTTAACCAGGTTCCAGGGAAAATAAAACTGTATGCAGATGAGTATACTAGTCGAAAAAAAACATTGCCACTTGCATTTTGTTTCCCTTTAACTACTTGCTGCGCATATCAAGGTTAAACCGCTCGTAATTTTTTAAACGCACCTAGGACGCCATTAGGAAAAGTCAGCGGACGCGAATCGCAATCGATGGTTGGATAGTTGATGAGAAAATTAAACAAACTAGACTTGTGGTGGACATCTTTGAATACACTTTTTCAATAAGCTTTATCATTTGGGTCGGCTGAAGATGGTCTGAGAACATCAGTGAAAAACACGGCAACTAGCACCTCTGACACTAATAACTAACTTGAATGAAAGGGCTTCGATGTTCATTTGCCACCAAAGTGAATAGATTTCCACACCCCTCTGGCATGACTTTCAAGGTTACACAATTCAGAAGTCTGGCCAACGGGTCTCATTTGTCTTTCCTAATATCGAATGGAAGACCCTCTGGTTCGAACACTTCGGTTTTTAATTCAGATCAAAATTTGTCGACCTCTCCCATGTGTGTCACACCTTACCGATCACTCGACGAGTTTCAGTAACCTGACTGGTTAAAAAGCTGGCAACAAGTTTGTACGAATGGGGAACTGAGCATGCCACCTTCAACCAGAGGTATCCCATAACGTATGGATACGTAGGAAAGACAACGTTTGAACCACATTTCCACTTGAATTTGAAGAAAATGGAAGTCCACCAAAATACGGGCATACATATGGCACTAGAAAACATTGAGTGCTCGGTTTTCCGTGCTCCTTACCTAGATGTACTAGAATACACAGCTTTTTAGAGGTCGAACTACCACAACGACATCCTGTATCAATAACCAGAACACAAATATAATGCAACCAAACGGCTCGTGGGCATATTAGGACGTGCCCCGCGCATACATCACCCGACCAAAAGCTGACATCTTGACGTGGTCGGGCCTGAGTCCTCCAATGATCCTACAGGCTACAGTGGTTGGAACAAAGATCCTATTAACCGCAACCTCGTGGTTGACTTTTTAATCAGGGGCCGTCACGAAGAGATTGGGCCTTACCGTGGTGTGACGGTTTGCG